ATCATTCTCTCATCATCCGTAGGTATTTTCACCGCTCCGGTCAGAGGATACTACTACTTCAGCTTCTCTGGCCATAATGTTTCAAATAGACCAATGGGGCTGCGACTGATGAAGAATGGAGTGCAGATTGTGACTGTGTACAACCATGTAGCTGGAAATCGCCCTGAGACAGCAACCAATGGCATGGTTGTTTACCTTAATGTGGGTGACCACGTGTACATGAGACTCAGACCAAACACCTGGATTTATGATAATGAAAATAACCACAGCACCTTCGTTGGCTTTTTGTTATCTGCTCATTAAGTGGATCAAAGATCAAATTAGCAAAAAAAACAGACGGTTTTAAAAACTAGAAATGGAAGGTGGTTATGTTACAATAAACTAATCAAATAATCAATAAGATAGGAAACTCTTTTTCAGGTTAACAATAACTTTTTGTTCTGCGTGTTTTAAGCATTTTTTGGCCACAATATATATAGATAGCTGTTACGCTGGCTTATAAAGTTACTATGTACCTTATGAGATTAAGTCCAACATTCCTTTAATTTTTAGTTTAAGGGTTTCCAACAACCAGAGGGAAAAATATCTGGATCTATAGCAGCTAGATCTTTGACTGTGGTCATCAGCCGGTCTGTAATTTTCTCTGTTAGCTGTTGGTGCTGGGCAGAGAGTGTAGAGTGGTTTAAAACAGTTTAGCCTATAAGTGTTGATGATAGCAACTCAAGAAATCGGAATCAATCCCTGTCATGATTGTGAAAATTGAATCGTGTTGACTTATTGATATTATCTTTGTCTTTATAATGTTATTTATATCAATAAAGCTCCAAGAAGAAGAATTAAACTTTTCAAAACAAAAATCTAAATAAAAAAAAAAAATGCACACAAATGGCACAGGTGGTTATTTTGAACTTGATGAAATACTTTTATTTTAACACTGGCAGTTGTGAACTTTCATACATTTAGCACTCTCGAGTTTCACTGTAGCAAACATGTTCCTGCATCGTGTCTTATCTTTTTTGTGTCCTTGTATATTTTTTGTTTGTTTTTATAACTTGTTTTTCTGTTCGACTTTAGCTTAGAGCTACCATAAAGCACGGCAACTAAAGTTATAAAGTAATTAATGCTAAAGTTCAAAAAAACAATGGGTAATTTTATTTAACAAGACCAATAACATAATGAACGCAGAAGAAGAACTATAATACACTTCCATAAATGTCAAACAATGTTAAACCAAATATGAACACAATCCTACTCCTCAGACATTACAGATATAAAAAATAAGGCCTTGGGCCTCTGAGGCAGAGACTCCGCCTTTAACACAACAAACATAAAGAACCCTCCTACGCTGTTGGTCGACATTTAACACAAACTGAGCTGAATGATGAAACACTTTGTCTGTAAACAGGTACTGACGTCTACATTCATTAGATATAGAAAACGATTCAGGACATTCTGCAGACATTTTCAGGAAACATCTATATCTAATAAGATTGAAAAATAGAACAAAAAGTGAATTTCATTTCGACCTCTCCCAGATCACTCAGGTGACATTTTCTGTTTCAGGTGATACGCTCCACGCTCCAAGCTCCAAGTTGTTCTGGTTGCATCAGGTCAAATCTGCACGACTGATGAGGAAATGAGATGCAGGTGAGGAGGTGAGCAGGGATGGCCAGGTAACTGAGGAACAGGTGTATAAATTGATGGGGCAGTTAGGTAGTTTGGAGAGGAGGAAATGCCTGTAGGCATCTGGTGGACAGATGGAAAATGGCAATGAAAGGGCCTGATGAAGCAGGGAAGTGGTACAGGTGGGACAGAGAGAAATACTGCGATTCCACCTTGAAAAAACGCAGAAGAACTGGCATTTCCTAATCATTTAAATGTGCTACAATCGAGACATATTTAAAGTAAACAACTGAGAAAGTCTGCTTTATCATTGTGAACATGTTGCCTAACATTAAAACATTTCTGTTCTCTTTTGTCCCTGTCTGTTCTCCCGCACATTCAAGAGGAGTAGGATTTTTTCACAGAGTCAGGCCAGCTGTTTCCCTCCTGTTTCTAATATTTGTGCTAGGTTAACCATCTGCTGGCTATAGGCTTATATTCATCAAGTGGTATCAATATCTGCATTTAACTCTCTGCAATCAAGCGTTAGTGCATTTCCCAAAATGTTGTGTTAAAGTAAAGACATGAGAGCGGTGTAAATCTTAGGATCTAACTTCCAAAAGTTTTGCAATTTCAAAAATGACATATGTTTACCAGCAAAAGTCCAGCGATGAGTAAGCTATGAGAGGCTGTAATAGTATGACGTCTTAAGCTTTTCTTTTTTTGGTCACTGTACCTTCTTCCTCTCTCCTCTGCAATCACAGACTCTGTTATTGCAAAACCCTACATACAAGACACAAGATGGAAGACACTTTCTAACTTCCACTTTTTCCTCACATGGTAAACCCATTCTTGCAGCTGGGGTCAGAGCTTGTGTGTCGTCAGCGGTTGCACTGGTCTTGAGTTCCAGTAGTTCAGCGATTTAACAATAATAAATGCATGAAAAGCCCTTCAACAGTTAAGAGGTGTTTTAGGAAGAGGTGGCAGTATTTTTAGGGAAAATTAGATGATTTCTTAGAATACGACCATTTGTTTCTCTGGCTCTCTAACAGCCCACAGATAACCAGCCGTGTCAACTGCTGTAAATTAGTGTCATATGATCCTGCTGGCTTCTTTGCTCAAATCAAATCATGTGGAGCCATTGCATGCACAAGAGCCAAACAAGTTAAATCTTTTCATCCTTTTCCCTCCCTGCCGCCCCCCGCCTTCATTTTCTATCAAACGGTTCATTCTTACTTTGATATTTTTGTGTGTGAGGTTTGGCTCAGGTTGAAAAGAAAAAAAAGGCCGCACTTCTCGGCGCATTACCCAACTGGGGTCATGTCCTGTGTCATGGGCAACTGAGGGAGGACAGGCTGTGACAATGCAAATCATTTATTTCTAAATGGTTAAGAGGAACTGTATGTCTGTTTCAACATTTCACAGATCTGAGGAGTTACTGCAACACAGGAAGCACCTCCACCCTTCCTTTCTTCCATACACAAAAAAAAAGCCCAACATATCAGTAAGCTGTGGTCAATAGATTTGCATGCAATGAAATGCTAAAGCAGGTCGTAGTAATAGAGGCTTTAGACTGAACCACTTAAATGTTGCAGACATACGCTGAAAATCGCTTTTTTTAAAATCTTATATGTATTGTACATGTTGCCATGCAGGTTGTGAAATGCAGAATGATCAGTAGGGCTTGTGTAATATTGCAGTAAGCAGAAGATGGTGTCAGATTATAGGCAAACCTCCAGCTCCAGAGATGTAATGGATGTTTCAATGCGCCACTACTGTGATGTCTGTAGATGTAGAGAAAAACATC